GGGCCTGCGTGTCCCTCGTGCTCCCCGCTGGGTGGCAGAGCCGGCCCTTGGGCAAGGGAACAGCGAGAGCAAGGATTTGGTTTAGCCAGAGGGATTCTTCGGGGAAGGCTTGCTTTTTTTTTTTTTTTTTTTAATCATTATTTTTCTCCCAGCATATTTGCACTGCGTGGGGAATTAAAGCTCCTGTTAGCAGCACAGAAAAAAATAAAGCTACCATTAGTAGCACACAGGAAAGCGCTGGAGCATCTAGCATCACCCTGGCGCTGCAGAGCCTCTCCTTGGGAACGCAGTGCTTGGGAGCACACAGAGCAGAGCGCGGTGCAGGACGAGCAGCCGGTGCCTGTCCTGGGTTAGGGACAAGGGCCTGGATGCCCTGGGACGGCAGCGCTGAGCCCAGAACGTGGCTCCTCAGGACCCTCCAGGGCTAGTGCTGGGCACGGGCGCTGGGACAGCTCTTGACCTGCTCTGGAAGCTGCAGGTAGCTTTGCCCCTTTACAGCAGCAGTGCTCTCTGATAAAGGCCAAGCTGCAAGTAATCTTTCAGGTGAAGGTGTGTTGCTTTTATTATTTCTGTTAAGGTTTTATGCACCAGGATCAGGTGAGTGTGGCTGGGAGTGTGCTGCCCCTTTAGCACTGCAAGATAAAAAGCAGGCTCGTCCATGCAGTGGCGAGGGAAGGAAGGCAGGAAGGATCAGATGAGCTCCCTGTCGTGTATGGAGATACAGGCTGTCCTGTAGCTCGTGCTTCTCTGCAACCCCAGCAGGTTCAGGGAGGTCAGTGAGTTACTCGGGAGGTGTCTCATGTGCAGAGAAACCCTCAGCTGGTCACTCAGGTTTAGAGCAGCTGGCTCTGAAGGGACGGTGTCTGGGAAATACGCCTCCATCTCCAGCCATTTCACTGTCTTCCCACACAGAGACCTTTCTGCTCTCAATGGAGCTTCCTCCTAACTTGCTGTGTCACTGCACAACTGCAATACAAAAACCCAGCGTCTTTTTCCCTCCCAGTTTCCGTGCTGAGGACGGTGCTGACTCTAATCTAGGTGTCTCCTTTGCGTTGTTTGTTTAACACAAGGATTATTTGTTTCTCTTTGGAGTTGCCTCCCTATCAGAATGGTTATTTGCATCTAGTGACAGGTTTTGCTCTACACCGATGGACTGCCTGTGCATCAAAACTGTTCTAGGTGGTTGCATAAACGTTCCTTGGCTCCCTGATAGCTGTTCTCGGCTCTTTGGTTTGAAAATGGATCACTGTCACCTGAGGGATAATGACAGGCTCTGCCTGATGGTCACAGAATACCCGTAACGGTCCCGTTCCCCTCCCAGCCGTGCAGTGATGCAGCTTGATATGTGGCAGACATCCCTTTTGTCCATCACACCGTGTGTTTCTGTGCAGCATGCAGGGCAGCGGTGGCAGTAGCTCCTCCCATGGATGCTGAACCCCGTGTGTGTCGCAGAGTCATTCCCGGTCTCCTCAGAGTGCCCTCCGTGTGGGAGCTTCTCTGCCTCGGTGAATAGAAGGGTCATGACAAGTCTCTCCCTGTTCTTTGCTGCAGTTTTTCTCCAGACCTTGCCCTCGATTCTCCTGGCACCGACCACTTCGTTATCATTGCCCAGCTGAAGGAGGAGGTGGCTACTTTGAAGAAGATGCTGCACCAGAAGGATCAGATGATTTTGGAGAAGGAGAAGAAGGTACAGTCAGGGACTCGCCTCCTCCCCAGAATGCTGACAAAGCCCCCAAGGAGAGTCTGGCTTTTTATTGTGGGGCGAACAACTAAATTTCTGCCTCCTTTCCAAAGTTAGAGGCTTTCTGGACCCCGCAGCTCCTAGAAGAGCCTTGCTTCATTAAAGGCTGTTCTCTGAGCACTGTGTGCAAGAGCTCCGTGTGGGAGCCAGGCCAGGAAAGGTGGTGCTGCCCTGTGCAGGAGGGCAGCAGGGCTCTGGCCCGGGGCTTTGGAGCTCCTGCTCCTCTGTACAGTCTCATCCAGTTTCGGGCAACTTCTGTAGATGCATTTTCTGTGCCAGGGTATGTCTGGGGTGAAGAGACTCGTTTCCTCTTCCTGCTCACGTGCTCCTTGCTGCTCTACCCGCAGATCACAGAGCTGAAAGCTGACCTGCAGTACCAGGAGTCGCAGATGAGGGCAAAGATGAACCAAATGGAGAAGACGCACAAGGAGGTCATGGAGCAGTTACAGGTGACAGCATTTTTGTTTTAATTTGCTGAGCTCCGCTGTAGCCAGGAGTGCCTGAGGACACTCTGGAGCAGGACATCTCGTGAGGCTCTGCCCTGCGCCAGGCTGCAGGGCACCTTCCCCCCGGGCCGTGGGCTCCGTGCTGCTCTCTCCTTGTGCTTGTGGTGCTCTGTGTGTCCACTGCAGACTAGATGGGAACCTTCAGACTCGTTTCACTGACTGCCAAAATCAGGTTTGAGCCTGTTTATCCAGACTGCAAAACCCGTGTCAGCTCCCTGTGCCATGTGGCGCTTAGTGTGATTTATGTGACAGTGCTGAAGAGAACAAAGCCCAAGAAACAACCGGCAGTTCTCTCAAAATCCGTCTCTGCGCAGTCCAAATAAAGAAGCCCCTGAGCTTGAGGGAACAGGGAGAGCAGGATTCTTGTCACAGCCATGGGAACAGCAGACAGGCTATCGACATGAATGTGCTCTGAGCCGCTGCAGAGATGGGGTCAAAGGGGAGCTGGGTACAGGGAAGGAATTGGACACACAAGTGAACTTTGCACCCTTTAATTACGGTGAGGTCTATAATGATCTAAAGCTCTAGCAATGAAAAGTGGGAGTCAGTAAGAAAATAGGTCTGTATTCACACAGAAAAACAGCCCCTCCTCCATCAGCACACACCCGAGTTAATTATTAGAGTGGAGGGTAGGTTTGGAGACTGCAGGTTCTGTCAGATAGCTGGTGCCCTTGAGAGCCTCTTCACAAGTCGCCTTTGTAAGCAGTTTAAGCCTGTCCCAAGGCTGGATTATCTTTGTGGGGTGTGTAGAAGGCTGGAAACACGTCCCAGCCCTTGTTAGCTGGGCAGCACTGGCTTGCAAGCCAGGACCTCGTGGGAAGCAGAGCCTGCTCTCATTCTGGGCTGCCTTCTTGGATCTGCGCTGCGTTTCAGCCCGGCTCTGCTTCCCCCTCATAGTGACCCCCTCATAGCGGTCCCCCTCTCTGGGTGACCTGCAAGGAGCGCATTGTTCTTGCTTCAATTCTGAGTAGTTATCCAGTGTCACAGCCTGCTTGGTTGCCTTTCTTGGCAGCCCTGGCCGCAGAGCCGAGGTCTAAGCGGGAGCCGCTCCGCTGCCTGCAGCGGCTCCGCAGGGTGGGACACGCGGGTGGCCCCGGGCTGTGTGGCAATGTGGGGGACGCCACGCGCTGGCACGGCCTTCGCTGCAGCTAAAACAGGACATCGGCCTCCAAGGCTGTGGGGCACCTTCCAGCAGCCTTAAAACCCGCCCGATCCTAAAAGGAGAGAGGAGGCAGCAGGGGCAGGGGCAGGCTGCCCGCAGGCGCCGTCGTCCCAGGCTGCGCGTGTCTGTCGCCCGCTGTGCTCTCCTGCACTTGGCTTGGGCTGGCGCTGCCCAGAACTTGTTCTCTCTGGTGTCCGAGTGTTTCACTTCGGCTGCTGCTGGGGCTCTGGAACGCTCTTCATTGATTCCAAAATAAAAGTTCAAATGCTCTCGGTGTATCGCAGGTGCCTTGAAGTGTTCACGTGATTCACTTCTTAATGTGCTGCTGTTTGGTGTTATTTTGTCTGTCTTTTCATGGGGGAAGCAAGGGTGTCCATCTGTCCAAATGCGGTGGCTGGTACAAGGGGAAGGGAAGGAAGAAGAGCCTGTCCTGGTCGTGCTGACCGGTGCATTTAGCTGGGTTAAGGAGAGTTGGGCGTTCGTCGCGTCCCGCAATGGCAGCGCTGGCCTTCAGCCTCCTCCTCAGCTTCAGCAGCGGGGTTTGTTGGGGACAGCTGGGACGAGCCCTTCCGAGGTGGCAGAGCTGGCGTGTGTCCAGGCAGCACTAACCCTGAGCCGTGCCATTAAAATACCCATTTTCACTGTGTTTCCAGGCCAAGAACAGAGAACTCCTGAAGCAAGCAGCTGCCCTGTCCAAGGGCAAAAAGCCTGAGAAGTCGGGAGCAATAACCTCCCCTTAGAAACAAAACCAAACCCCCGCTCTGGGAGCTTTCCCCAGCATTAGCCAAGGAGTCTAGGAGGCCTGCCTGCTCGCTGGAAGCCAAAACCTCACTTTTCTCACTATCCCGTTGCTGTGGACTCGATGGAAACGCCTGGTGTGTGTTGCCTTTCGACAGCATGCTTGAGTGTGTCTGGTTCCGATCCCCACTGATCCCGTTTGTGCTGTGGTGATCCACGGGGAGAGGTCCCGGCCGCCCTGGATCTCCCTGGGTTCCTGACAAGCGTTTTTCTAACCCGTTTCTACCACTGCCAGCCCTTTCTATAGCAAACGGGACCTGCTGCGTTAGAGACTTCTCGCTGCTTTCGGACGCGCTGCGCGGAGGCGGTGGCCGCGGCCGGTCGGGGCGCGGGCAGGCGCCGCGCGCGGGGGGAGCTCAGTTTTTTGCACTGTTCCCTCTTCCAAAGGAAGCCGATAATCACCAGCCCACCAGATGTTCCCAGAGGGTCGTGTCGCTGCTGAGAGCGGTCCGTTCATCGTTGCGAAGACGCTCCCAAAGCGGGGCTGTACGTTTATCTTGCAGGAGTTGGGGTTTGTCTTCCTGTGTCAGCTTGGCCCCCTGCCCGCCTGGCTGGCGGGGTTGGGTTTGGTTTTGTAGCTTTGGGGCTGGGAGCCGGAGCAGAACGATGCAGACCCCCCGGCACCCCTTGGTGGCCTTTGGGCTTCGGTGACCTTCGCGGCTTGGGGTGCTTGAGCTGCTCCCACTCCCCCGTCCTCGCGCGAGGCTGAAGGAGAGGTCAGGGCTCGGCTGCTGCTCTGCCCTGCAGTCCCTGCATCCCGTTCCCTGCTCTCCCCCTCTCCCTGCCCTTCCGGATGCCGAAGGGCCCGGCTGGTTCCTGCGGCTCCGGAGACGCTTCCCTGCGCCGGGACCAAGGGCCAGGAGAGCCCCGGAGCGAGGAGGCTCCTCGGCCGTGGGGCAGCTCCCGGTGTCACCCGTGCCGGGACAAGGAGACACCCCGGGGCTTGGAGACCTCGGGGCGCAGGAGAGAGGACCCGGAGCGGCGCCCGCGCGCGTGCGGGAGAGGAGACGCTGCCCTTGGCCGGGGCTTCTTAGGCTTTCAACTAGAGATCGTGAGTGTTTGTTCCTTTTTTTAAATGTTACTAAGGATGACTTTACTCAAAGGCACTTTTTTGACGATGTTGGCTTCCAGCATGGAAGGAGCACGCTGCAGCATCAGACACTCTGCCACGTTTTGGTGTTGTTGTTCTTTACTTTCTAAAGAGACTTCTGATGTGAAAAGGAAAACAAACAAAAAAGTTACACTTTGCCAGAGTGTGACAGCAAGAAAATACTCGCCTAATTTTATACTTCACGTGTTTTTAGAAAATGAGGTGCGTTGATGGGATTTTTTTTTAAATGGGCGCTTTGCTTTTTTTGCTCCCCTCGAGATACAGAAATAAGGAGAGGGAGAAAGGCCCTGTATATACTATTATGGTTTTTTTTAATTGTGACAAATTGATCCTGCAGTTGAGTAGCTGATGATTTGTAGTAATAACATTGTTTCTTTGTATGTTTGTAATAATGGAGATTTTAAAGGGATGCTTTGATTTGTACAAAACTGAAAAATGTAAAAGTGTTTAAAAAAAAAAAAAAGCAATCCTCAGCTGTGTGTCTGATACTTTCTATTTGCCTTAAAGAAAAGAAAAGAAAAAAATGCCCTTCCCTGCGTGGAACTGATTTGTCTCCTGCTGGCGACTGCCAGGTCAGAGCACCAGGCGCAGCTGTGGGATTTGGTGCATGGGAATGAAATGGCATTTTCTATTGTTTGCTCCTACTTTTGTTTCTATCTTTAAATCCTCCTAATCAAGCCTGTTGCTAGGATCCTTGTTACTTGGATACATGGAGCTTCCCGGGACGGATCTGGCGGCACCAGACGAGATGTGTCTATTTTCCTCCCCCCGAGGAGCGCGCAAACGGCACAGCCTTGGTAGGAAAGCGAAGGACAAGAGGAGGCCGAGGGCCTTTTCTTCTCTTAAGACACAAGTGCAGCCCGGGTGAGTAAGTGCCCTTTGTGTCCCTGCAGTCCTGCCCCGCTCCGCCAGCGTTACAGTCGTTTGGGGGAAAGACATTTTCTTCAGAAGCTTCTGGTTTTCTGAGAGAAACGTGGTAGCCCCAAACTCGCCCGGTACTTCCATGTCTGCATTGGGAGATGCAAACCGTAGCTCTTGAGGGAACATCCCAGCAGCTCCTCCAGCTCCAAATATTCCCACTTTTCTATTCTCCTGAATTGGAGCTGTACACACAGAGCAGCTCCGAAGGCGCTGGGACAAACAGCCAAGTCTGTAGCCAAGCGCAGGGAAGGAAGACGGTTCCCAGGGAAGGAAGACGGTTCCCAGGGAAGGCATCTCATGGCTCCTCCTGCCCGCGGGAGACGGGAGCGGCTCCCGGGGACCGTGCGGGGCAGCTCAGGGAGGGGGACACCCTGTCCCCGTGCCCTGCGCCCCCGGGAAGGACGAGCCGTGGGTTTTCCTTGGGATCGTGGATTTTCCTTGGGATCGTCTTTCCGGTGAGCCCTGCAGCCGGCAGTGCTACGCCCAGGGAGGGAGAGGATATCCATTTTCTCTTTCCTTCGAGCTCCGAGTTGTTTCTTTTGATGTGGTTGTTTTCCACCTGGAAGCCATCAGGGCTCTCTCCGGGATTCGCTGGATCTCTGGCTCCGCGAGGCAGCCGCAGGCCCTGCCGAGGGAGGGACGTCCTGCCCGGAGCCGCAGCCTTGCTGGGCTGGTGCCACGGGGCTGACGGGGACATTGAGGGGGTTAGAAACGGCAGGGCCAAAACCGGGACCCATCCTGCTCTGCCCAGGTCAGGAGCACGGGGGCACGAAGGGGATTTGTGCTGCAGGGCCTTAAAAAAACACCGTGAGGGTCTTAAAATCCTCTAAAGCTTCAGGAACTTGCTCTGTAACTGATCGTGGAATAGGAAACGGGACCAGGGCCCTTGGCTTGGTGCTTTCCCTCTTCCGCCAGGTTTCATACAGGGCTCGGCTGCCCTTTGCCTCCTCCCTTAGGGAATCTTGGCAGCTCCAGGAGTCCAAAGGCTCCGGGGCTCCAGCGTGAGCCCAAACCCCATGCAGGGCTCCTGGAGTGCCCGGGAACGCTCCTCCCGCGGCTTCCCAGAGCTCTCCAGCCGCTCGGGATCTTTGACCACAACGGCCCTGTCCCTAACGGGGACACGGGGGAAGGAAACGCGTAAACCAGCGCACGACTGCGACTGCAGAGAGGAGCCGTGGTCCCCGCTGCCTCCCTCTGCCCTCGCCAGCGTGGGTGGGATTTTTCCCCGGCCTGCCTGGGAGCCGCGGGAAGCAGCCGCCGTCCCCAGGCGACCTGGCTCTTGGCACGACGGGCCCCGCTGTGCCGTGGGCTGCCTCGCCCCGCGTCGCCCCTTTCCCTGCGGGAGCTCTGCCCTCTGCTGCTCCCCCCAATGCAAAGGCTCGGGGAGTGTTTTGGGCTGTTTCCCCCCTTTTCCCAGGGCCGGCACTGAGCAGAGTCCCTCCGAGCTCCGAGGGGGCAGCAGGTCACCGCTGCGCAGCGGCCGTGGAGAGCGCGGAGAAGCCGGTGCCGACGCTCCGCGCCAAGGAGCGTTTGCAAAGGGGCCGGGAGAAGTGCTGAGGCTGCAGCGAGGGGCCACGGGCTGCGCCAATGGACCCAGGGAGCTGCCCCGGCGCAGGGGGCTGCAATGGGGTAAATCCATGGGATTCCCCCCAGGAATTACTTCAGATCGCCCTCAGTGGCCAAAATACCAAGCTTTGCAATTTAGCTTGCACCAGGGCTGCAGGGGGTCCTGGAGCTGCATCCCCGAGGCCGCTCTACCCCTGCAGCGCTGCTGCCTGCGCAGGGCCCTGCCGTTACCGCAGGGTCTGCAGGGCTGCGCCCTCCCTGCTCGGTTTGGGCCAAACCTTGCTAAAACCAGGTGTTGTGTTGCAGTCACCTTCCCAAACTAGGACCAGGGGCTGGATGAGGGGCACAGGGCGCCGGGCGCCTTGCCGGAGCCTCCGTCCCGCTCCAAGCAGATGCCATTAAAACCGGGGAGCCAAGACGCGGAGGCGGCCGCAGGGGCTCCCGGCGCGGGCCGGGAGCGGGGAGGCTGTTGCCAGGCGAAAGCCGAGTTGTTTGTGCAGCCGGGGCTGTTTGCTGGACTTTGCCGCGCGGCCTGTCAGGCGGCAGCAGATCGTTATCAGCGCCGCCGCCTGCCGCCTCTTGGCTGTTTGTCACTTTTCCCCCTTTTTCTTTCTCCTCTCTCCGCCTTCGCTGCCGCCTGCACTTGTTATTCCAGGGCGGGAGCTGGCGCCGGGTCCTCGGTGCCGCCGGAGCCCCGAGCCCAGGGGCGGCTGCTCTCTGGGGGCTGCTCTGCACCGCGGTTCTGGGCCCAGATGTGGGGTGCGATGCTGAGTACGGGGCCTGGGTGCTGGGCTGGCACCAGAACCGGCCCAGAGCATGGGAATGGGTCCTGGGCTGGCACCAGAACCGCTCCAGAAACAGTCCTGGGCACGAGGCATCGTTTCGGAGCGGCATGGGGCAGCAGGTTCTGGGCTGGTTCCAGAACTGGGCGCAAAGCCTGGGTTCTGGGCTGGCTGGGCAACTCGTACCAGGTCTAGGTTCTAGCCTGGCGCCAGAACCAGCCCTGGGCATGTGCATGGGTTCTAAGCTCGTTCTAGAACCAGGCATAAAGCACAGGTTCTGGGCTGGCTCCACAACTGGCTCAGGGTGAAGGCCTGGACTCCAGGCTGGCTCCAGAGCTGGCTCAGGGCACAAGGCCCAGGTTCGTGTCTGCCTCTAGAACCGGTCCTGGGCGCTGGGCACTGGTTCGGGACTGGCTTGGGAACCAGGCATAAAGCACGGGTTCTGGGCTGGCTCCAGAACTGCCTCCGGGCACCCGGCCTGGGTTCTGGATTGGTTCCGATACCAGCCTCGAGCACTAGGCCTGGGTTCCGGATTGGTTCCGATACCAGCCTCGAGCACCAGGCCTGGCTTCCGGGCCGGCTCCGGTCCCGG